TACCAGCTCAATTTGGATGTTTCACTTCAACGGAAAAATTTGCTTTGCTAGAATTACTGAAGGCTGTAATGCAGAAAGGCATTGCCTGACCTTCATAGATTTGCATTGCTGTGAAACTTTCATGACTTCACCGTTGTTGATGTACTCTTCTCGCTTCCGTGCAACTTCTTCCTCGAAAATTTTCTGGCTTGCTCCAAGCCATGAACCTGAATCCACCTTAATCCTGTAATCCACTAACAAAACGGGATAAGGGCAAGTCAAAGAGTGTGGAGTTCATAGAAAAGGGTCATAAAGCGAGAGCAATGTTGCAGCTTCTACTCTCTTCTATGAGTTCTGATATGTGGGTGCATTAACTCATTATCATGTTATCACAAGAGTTTATGCATCTTCCTTGCTTACTTACTAGGGTGGGTAACTTCACGGAGAACTCCCAGGAGCATGAGCTTGTCTCCAGGGAAAAGCCTAGAGCCTTGTAAGATGTATTTGATAGCGTTCAGGCTATTTCCTGGTGAAGCGTCTTCAATCACAATTACCCTTTGAGCTTCTGCAGACATGATTTCTTATCAAGTCAAAGTATCGAAGTCTAGAGAGCACGGCAAGGGGAAAAAGCTCTCAAAACTCAGTCTTTATATTAAAACTGCCACGAGTTTTAATTGGCCAAAGCAAATGGACCTTGGTGAGTACATTCACCACTGTCCGGACATGATATTCCTTGTGTTACGGCTAGTGCTATCACCTAGAGGGGGGTGAATAGGTGATTTTACCAAAATTGTATGATTTAAACGTGCGGAATGAATATAGTCTAGGTCAACAACACATATGATCAACATCAGATGGATTCGTATAACAAACTTGTATATAAATTGTTGTCAGATGATTACATCTGATTACTAAAACGATGTTCTGACGAACTTGTTTGACAGATATGTATACAGTATAATGTCAGTAATAATAAATAAAAGTTTAGGAATAGAGAATACTGCACACAGATCTTTATAGTGATTCGGCTTTATTGAGCCTATGTCCACTCTCCACGCTGACAGCCTGTTGACTGTATTTCACTATTGAATCACCAGAAGATTACAAGAGCTGTGCTTCTCAAATGATAGATAACACTATCACGTACACTCTTCACTCAAGTAATTTTATTTCTAAAAAACACAACGTGGAAAAGAGTAATCACAAGTGTGTAAGATCGAAACTTTATTCAAACTTTGGAATTCTCGATTCTGGTTCTTGTTTCTTGTACGACGTTTGCACTCCTTTTATACTCCTCTACTTCCAATCTATCCGTTGGACAATCTTCAGAGCATTGATCTCCAAATCAACCTATTGGAGATTCTTCCCAAAATAGGATGCATAGCCGTTAGAAGAAGAACCATTATCTCTGAGTGATTTGATCGCCCATACAATCAAATCAAGGTTTCCATAAGTGTAGTTTTTCGTATTTGAGGAACGATCTTGTGATTACCAATTTGGATTTCTTAAAGTATCGATTTGATTATCCTGCATAAACTTGCTAAAAATAACACTTATTGCGTCTGGCGAGTAATTTTGAGTTTGATGACAAAGTTCTTTCATCGATTAAGTTTGATGACTCGGTATTTACCTGCATCAAATAACTTAAGTGTAATTCTGATCAGTAATAGATTGTTTTGTCATTCCTCAAAACTCATTAGGGATTTTGCTTCAACACCTTGGAATTTCTTTGTCGCGATTGATAGAAATAAGCATGCTGTTATCTTTTCTGTTACTTCCTATGCTACGACCGTAGACGAACATGGACGATCCATAGAATATGCTTTGCTTATGTAAAGGTATGGCTCATTATCTGAACGTGGAAACGAGTTTAAGCAAGTGAAAAGTGCTATTTTTCTTCTTAAATAACAACATGACCAGGGACTTCATTGGGCAGACGTGATCTGTATCATTACTGCTGCCCACTGGGGTTCAGTGAACCAATATGGTGTCAGGGAAAATGTAAGTATGTAATTTTTCGAAGGGACGTGAAATTGACGAATTCTGAAGCTGAATAAGAGGAGGGACGACCACTATCAGTGATGCATTTCTAGGGTTTGTCGTAATTCTAACCTAAATTCTATTAAAAATGGGAGCATGTGGATTGATTCGGATCAAATTGGAATATTACCTCAACCTAGGAAATTGAGATTGGGATTCCATTAATCCAGTGGAATCAATGGCTAGGGCATGGATAATAACATATTCTTTTCCATAGCGGGGCCCGCAAGCTTTTAAGTAAGGTAAATTCATTGTTCTTTGCTGAAAAAAAAAAGATTTTGGGTCGTGAACAGTGAAGGATCCGACGGAAGTCGTTCATGCGATATGAAGTTATTGACACCCAAAATTATCCCCGGTGGGAGCAGGCAGATTGCAAGTCACAAAGGACGTAAAACACGGCCCATATAGCATGAATCCGAAGAAAGGCCGTGAGTCAGGCCCAGAGGCATCGGAAAGATTTGGAGCAGTTATCGATAGGACACGTCATAGAAGTGTCGACAGGTTGACAAGTCCAAGATCACGAGCCTTGCACATGACGTCGACAAGTCCAAGATCACGAGCCTTGCATGTGACGTTGACAAGTCCAAGATCACGGGCCTTGCAAGTCCAAGATCACGAGCTTTGCATGTGATGTCGATGAGTATGAGATCATGAATTAAGCACGTGGTGTTACATGGTAAAGAAATTCATTTCCACGTGTCAAAAGGTAAAGACATGACCGTGGGCGTGAAGATCAAGGAAGCTAAATAGTGAAATGTGGGAAACAGCAGGAAATAAGGAGACACGTGGAAGAAAATCAGCTATTACGTGACGCCCAAGGAGCGTAAGCAACATCGACAAATCAGGAAACGGTTAAAGTGCGAAATGTAAGGAAGTGGAAAATAACTTTCAAGGAGAAGTAGCCGATCGATAGTTATCAGGCTGCTCTATAAATACTCAAGGATTTCTGACGTAGAAGGCTCTCCGAACAAGACAACAGACTTCTTATCTATCTTTTCTTACGGCACTATAGGAGTAGTAGTAGTTACAGCTTTTAGATTCCACATCGTAGATTCAATTCCAGCGCGAGTCTTTATCAGGTCCAGTATTGTTGATTAAATTCCAATGTTGTGCCACCAGTTCAACGTTGTCGATTAGATTCTGGCGTTGTGCTTGGAATATAGCTGTTGATTGGATTCCAGCCATATTCTCTCAGGTCACGTCATTGATTAGATTCTGGCGTACCTGGAATTGCAATGTTGTGTACTAGTTGTGTCGTTGATTGGATTCCGACATAGCTTAGTCTTGACATTTGCAAGTTGTCATCCTATTGTTAGTTTTGTTGAGTTGGGTGTATTATCGAGTTAAGTTGTAAGGCACAAGTTGGGTTTAATAGACACATTTGACATTCTCTGTCCGAGCTTGACTCAAGACCCTAGTCTCCTCTAATAAAATCCGAAATGCAGCGTTCGTTGAAAGATTTTCGACGGGATAAAACCGGCGAAACATAAGTGTCTAAAATTTTCTATGGTCAAAAAAAGAAAAAAAAAAGTAAAGAGGTTAAACTGGTCATCTATGATCACTTCTGCAAAACGAGATTCTCAACTCTAAGAACAGCATATAGTTCATGTTGTTTGTTCAACTCTCATCCGTCAAATGAGGATCCAAACACCTTGAAATTTTTTTTTGGGGGAATAACAAGGATCATTATCCAACTTATCTAGTAAGGCACAGCTTCTCTCCTTAACATGATCATTCGACACTAAATTCTTATATGGACTTCATTTACAAAATTTTAAAAAATTAAACCACAGCTTCATCTAACGGCTTAAAACAGCTAAGAAATTCAGGGATCCGAGCAGTACACATACTTACTCAGAGGCAATAGTACTGCTGAAAATCGTCAGATTCCTGTAAATAGTTTGTGAGAATAATAAGAAGCCAAAACAGAGGGTCGAATGCACTAACGACTACGTAGATGCCTAAGCAATTCTGAGACATGCTGGTTTGCTTCAGAGCCATGTTGATTCAAGCAAAGCATTAGTGATGGATCTCAATCTATTATTTACAAGAGACTGAACAAAAATAAGGTGCTGAAGCTACATAATATAAGATCCCATTTGTACACATTCCACAGCCGGCATACGAGATATTCTTGCCAAAATGTTATTTTCATGCAGATACTTTGAGCCTCTGGCAGCTCGTTCAGAATTTCAGTGGTTCATGAAGTTGAATGCCCCAATTTATAGTTATGCTGTCGTCAATCTACTGTTCTTTCTTTCTTTTGGTCAACTCACGAATAATTTCCTGGTTTGCTCCAGACGCGGTAACACGTATCCACACCTTCATCCTTTAACCCACTGAAGAAATGTGCTGGAGAAAGTGATGAGTTGGAAGTTACTAGGAATCGTCACGAAGTAACACTGTCTTGTTTGTACACTATGGTGAAACAAAACCATGGCCAGAATTTAAGGTCTCTGAAAAATCATACCTTGGTGTTGCAAGCGGTTTTAATCAAGATTAGGAAATCCAAACAAGAGTCTTTGGACCTTTGGAATGTGGAGTTGAATATCCTATCGTGTTCCAAGGGTTGCTTCTTTGGAGGACGCAGTTAATTCGGCTTCACATTGTGCTGTTACTTCCTAAGCTTAATTTCTTGTTCCATTAGCCCATTTGTTGAAAAACAGACCTTGGCATGGCACGATAAGTTCCTCTCATAGAGCCAAACCTCTTAAGAATGTTTTTTTGTTTAATATATCAACCTAAAGGTGTCCGAAACCAACAAAGATCAAAGTGGAAGACCGAATTTATGTGGTGAATAATATGTCTCTTCTGTCATGGGTGTTTTACTTGCAATAAACCTGGAAATGGTTAAAAGAGCTAAGCCAGTTTCATCTCCAGCTAAGAAAATGGTCAAAATCTCCTTTTGTTCAAATCAGTTCATCATTGTTCACTGTACAGAATTTGTCTTTGTCGAGGACTACTGCTTTTATGTGTGGATGTGGGAAATGTCATTGGAGCTGATCATTGGGAAGCAATAATAAAGCAAAGTATCATAAAAACAATTTCTGGGAAGGATGTACTCTTATTGTGAGTATCGCGACGACTGAGAATCACTAAGCTACAATTGAATGGCAATTGTTGTCATGTAGTATTCTTTTGCAGTAATTGATGGTACCAATCCTGTCGTCAGATCATCCATTCCACCTGGGGATGATGGTCGTTGCATGGAGCTTTCATAGTTCCACAGTGAACCAGCAGAGGAGTCGTCGGTGCCACCAATTGATTCCGGTCGTGGTCGGTCCCTAACGCCTGGGGATGATGTTCGTTGTGTGGAGCTTTCATAGTTGCACTGTGAACCAGCAGAGGAGTCGTCGGTGCCACCAATTGACTCCGGTCGTGGTCGGTCCCTAACAACCGGGAGAGTTTTTCCTTCTACTATGTAACTTAATGCATGAATTACCTGCATTTAAGTCAACTAACAATCAGACTGCCTAAATTGAGTAGAAGAAAATTTGAACCAGTGGAAAGGCTGGGAAGATATTAAAACTCTAGGTGACATGTGAGCATCTTGTTCGCACTGATGTGAAAGTAGTGGCATTTGAGGAAATGTCACTTGATGCCTATTAGTTTCACCATCACTACGCAAATATAAAAAATCAATGGTTTAGAAGTGGAATGCAGAGCTGTTCGTCCAGAATAGTTCGATAAAAACAAGATGATAGAGATGCTCCAACTACATTAACAAAGGTGCTTCACAACCAGTCGTAAGCATTGTATAATCCTTCACAGAGGAGTTTGAGAAAAGCAAAATGACTTTTCTTTATTCTGATAACAAGAGAGAACCATGCCTGGTGTGATATCAGATTGCTGACCAATGGACTTTTAAATAGTGTTTCTGCACTTCAATCATGGAAGATACACATAAAAAAGGAGAGGAGAAATGCATCTGTGCACAGTCAGTAGCATATATTAATGACACTTATGACTTGAGACTCTGACCTGGTCCACAGATATTCTCCTGTTGGGGTCCTTTCTCAGGCACTTAAACGCCATTTGAATCACCCAAGTGAGTTGGTTGACATCGTAAGAGTCGGTCAGGCTGTGTTCAATTAATTCTGGGTAGTTTTTGTCTCTTACCAATGACCTTACCTGCAACATTTCAAGCAGAGCAATGTAAGTAATAGAGTTTTTAGACCCAAAACTAAGGCACTTGCTCAGAGAGTGAAGCATGCAGCATATCTTGATCGTTAGCAATATCCCACCTACACCGTTAAATGTAAAATGAACTGCAAGCACTTTCCTTAATTATGTCTTGCTTTGCTAGATCAATAGAATCACGAATGCAAGCAGACTAGGTATGAAGCATTGAGACATTTACCCATCCTACAATGTTATGCTTTCCAAATGATGGATCTGTGCTCCTCAATCCTGTTATCAGCTGTAACAGTATGACACCAAAGGAATAACAGTCGGTCTTTTGAGACAGTTCACCAAAATCTGCATATTCGGGAGCCAAGTATGGTATAGTTGCAATTCTTGTCTCAGATGAGAGATCAGAGTCTTCATGTAGAGTCATTTCAAGGCCAAAATCTCCGAGCTGATACAAAAGCAGTACAGCATATCATATGATTTCTGATGTCATAAATAAAGTGGTGATCAGATCAGGATTAATTCATGAGTGCGCAGTCTTCACTTCACTTGACCTACCAGTTTTTTACCCTAGGTTATTTGTCCATCAAAAGTATAAATGTTTCGAAAATTGTTCTGATCTTATTCTTTCAGGTTTTGATATAAACAGAAATATATTTTCCATTTGCTTATGTTGAGATGTTCAAAAACCTTAGTGCGTTAATGACTAGCATTTTCAATGGCCAATAGATAAAATATGCCCATTTGTAAATGGGTTTGCATTCACTTGGCTATAAAAAGCTTATGCTAATATGAATAAGGGTCACAAAACAACTGAGTGATTATCTCGTTATGCCTAAAACTAAGTCCACAGCTTTCATATAGAATCATAACCAAAGACATTACGAAACTCTTACCAGAGGTTCGTAATCATGAGTTAAGAGGATGTTGTTGGGTCTCAAACTTCGGTGGACAATGTTCTTGTCATGCAGATACTTTAAGCCCTTGGCAGCTCCCATGGCAATTTTTATCCTTTGATCCCATGTGAGCAGTATACCAGGATCTCCTGCATCAGTTAAACCAAATATCTCACTGATTAGGTTCATGCTCTGAATGTATACATGAGGCAAATTTCCAACACGAAAACTTATTGAGAGACGTTAACAGTTATGTGCCCTTAACTGTGGTTTTTACTTGATAGATGTTGGTCCAACGAACCGTTGCAGACATCTTCATAGACAAGCAACCTGTGGTTTCCGTCTGAACAGGAACCTAATAGGGTGACCAAATGTTCGTGTCTAACTTCACTGAGCATATGAACTACAGATTGGAATTCCTTATCATCTCCCTGAAAACTCTCATTTTTCTTCTGCTTAACAGTAATCTTCAGTCCATTCAGCTCACCCCTGAAGACTACTCCGAGCCCATTTTCTGATTGGTAGTTATTAGCGGAAAATCCATCAGTAGCAGCATGAAGCTCTGCATAAGTGAATTCTCTCTTCCATCCGCTCTTTGGACGTCTGTTATTGCAGATTGAACAAATGTAATTTCTGATCTCTGGTTCCTGTTCATCGTCTCCTGTAAAATCACTTGATTTGTGTATTTGTTGTTTCTGAGGACTTTGTGGTTTTGGCTGTTTAAATTCATCTCCTCCTATCAAGGCACTTGAAATCGGTCTGTGTTCTTTCTGAAGATTTTGAGGATTTGGCTGTCTCAACGTTTCTAAGGTGTTGTTTCGTTTCACTATCGAAACACCACATGAGAGTTTTGCAATGAGATAGTCCGTGTCTTTTGTCATTTTCCTGCAGCAAAGATACTTTAGAATCACAATATATGAATTCCTAGTGTGCTCACGTTGGATACCATTCTCCATCATATTGACAAAACTATCTCTCAAAAGGTAATAAACTTAGTGAAATTATGTCCATAGACAAATATCCTTGAACAAATTGTCACCATATAATCATTCTAGTCACCTTTCACTACAGTACTTTTTTTACCTCACACACAGTATATGTGTTTTGCTCTTACTGTGAGTCCAGAAGTATAGATAATCAAATTGTTCCCTATTTGCTCTTATTACCTTAACTGGGGACAGTAGAGTAAGAACAGACGCATCATCTCTTTTCTGATTGGTTCAACGATAAGGGATGAATCTGCTGAATTTATTTATCTTGTCATATTTCCTTTTGGTTTGCATAATAATTTGGTCTGTGATTTTATTTGGAGAGTTTTAGACCCTATAGTGTCACTAAGATATAGATACAAGACGTGCTCTGACAGTACAAACACCAACCAGCATTCAAAACATCATGAAATGGTCTCATGAACAAAAGGTTCAACTAACCCGTCCAGTATAACCCACGATGGCTTAAAAGTTGTAGCAGCTTTTTGGACAACTTCCTTTGGGGACGTTTCTCCACAGACATCTATATCCAACTCAATCTGAAATTACACGAACAGAAGACTTGTATTAGCCATCTAACTAACAGAATCAAATGGGGGCACATCTCGGCTAGGATGGAATAATTTCTAGAATATTGTTGTAGCGTTCGCATAGTTGTTGAAATATTAACAGCTGAACAAGGAAAAAAAACGTTGAACCTTACATTGTAGAAGATGAAAAATCAAGAATTCTTCTTTCTGTAGTTCTGAGCTTTGTATAGAAGAAGGAAACATGGATATCAGCTCGTGACCGAGAACTCAGATGGACTAATGCCGTTAAGACATGGCACGGTTTACTTAACACTCAGAGTTGGGACCTGGTAAACTTCTTACTGCTACATCCTTAGCATGTGCTTTCCAGGCATCTATCAAATGGATCTTTCACTTCAACAGAAAACTTATCTACTTACAACTACTGATGTACATGATGCAGAAAAATATCAACCACATTGACAATGAATCGTAATTGACCTTCATAGACTCGCATTGCTTGGAAACCTCTGTAACCTCGTCGGCATGAGCGTACTCTTCCTTCCTCCGTTCCACTATTTTCTTAACAAATTTCCGGCTCGATCCGATCCACACGCTTGAATCCACTTTGATCTGGTAACCCACTGGAAGAAAAGAAACGGACACGGAGTGAAATCAATTCACGATATTTCTGCTACTTCCCTCGTATACGATTCTAATTATGCGTGCATTTGTGCACTATCATGTTCTTTTTGGACGCAAAATGTCTGGCAACTCTCATGCATATTGCTTGCGTTACTTACATGGGTGGCAAACTTTTCGGAGAACTGCTAGGAGCAGAATCTTGTCTCCAGGGTAAAGCGCAAATCCCTGTAAACCGCATTTGATCGCATCCAAGCTAATCCCACTCGAGGCGTCTTCGACCACCAACACCCTTTGAGCCTCCGATGACATCGCTTTCTTCACTGAGTCGGATGGGACAGACAAGAAGAGCTCTCAAAAATCGCTTCTTAACATCTATACCCTACGGACCTGAACTGCCAAGGCAGATGGAGTTAGGATGACAACATTCAGAAATGTCCAGACATTAACTATAGGTTGAATTTGGATAATTCATACTAAGCTCAAAGAATGTTTCATTGCTTAGTTGATTGGTGGGAGGATGGTTGTTCTCCTTCCAGGAATAATTGCCTTGGGATGCGTGTCTTTTTTTCCACTCTACTAGATGAGTTCTGGGGCGTGGGTGTGCCTTAGAGAACCAGATGGAACTAGGCTGAAGAATATAGTGATAGCCGATGAACATAGTAATTAGTGTGCTTCTTTTTGTCATTTTCAGGTGTTTTTGGCTGAACAACGATGAATCCGAAAACATGCTTTGGTTTTGTAAATGTATTGCTCATCATCTGACAGCAGAAAGGGGATTAATCAGACAATTGCAAGTACTCTTTCTTAGATAATTTTAACATAGAGTGGGCCTACTTTTCCTAAAAGGCGCGCGCGAGAGTGGCATATCGTTTTCGTAGCTTCTCAACTGAGACTATTGCTTTCTGGCTTTGTTTGGTTTACAAATGGCTGGAGAAGATACATCTTACCGATTCTGAATTTCAGATTCACCTGTCAATATTGGCAAATTATGCTTAGCTTCTCTTCTCCTAACGTGTGATGTCCCTCGCCGCGAGTGTTATAACTTTCGTACAGCGCTCACTTGAATGCTATAATTTTTTTTTTCCATCACTTGTGTGCCACAACTTCTAAAAATACGTTTATGTGAGTGTCACGACTTCTCAAAAACGTTCACTTGAGCGTCACCTGTCAAAATTGGCAAATTATGCTTAGCTTCTCTTCTCCTAACGTGTGATATTGCACCATCACTAATGCCATAACTTTCGTACAGAGTTCGTTTGAGTTTATAAAAAAAAAATTTCCATCATTTCGGATTTCCGACACTTATGGTAAACTTTTTGTTAAAAAAGTTACGTTACTCAAGTGATGAAAAAAATACAACACTCAAGTAAATGTTTTGAAAAAATCATGGTACTCAAGTGATCGAAAAAGAAAATTATGACACTTAAATGAGCGTCGTACAAAAATTATAGCGCTTATAATGTCCTTATCAAAAAGTTGGTTCCCCCAACATTACTCCATACATTGCCTTCTATACTCTCCCTGATGGCAACGCACGAGTGTAATCTATCACCATTGTGCAACCAAATATGCCGTAAGGCATTTTCAATCTGATGAGGCTTAGATCTCTTCCATCTTCAAATTCTTCCCAATTTAAGCTTCGTTTGTTTCGCGAAAAATAAATATTTTGGAAAATATTTTCCTACAAACGATTATTTATATTGCTTACAAAACGAATGAAGTTATCGATAATAAAAATATTTTCTATTAACTAATTATTTTAATCGATACAAACGATCACTTTTAGAAACTTTTTTTTCAAATCATTCATTTTTCGCGAAACATACGGAGCAGTAGATTTCGCCAGCTTGCCAAACGACCCTTGCTTCATGCTGGATTTTCATATTCCAAAACCACAGGAGATAGATTTAACTGCGAACTTGAATAGTTTATCGCAATTTACTTAGCTCCAGGAAATAGCTAGAGGCATCCGTCATTTAACCAAATCTCACATCCTTTCAGCTTTGCTATGCTATAAATGGAAGTCGCAATGTCCAGGACGATCACATGTGACGAATACAATGTATGCGTAAGAGGGCCCCTTGTGGATGTTTCTGCATGTCAGATTCATGTCCTTTCTTTCGTGCTTCCAAGAAAACATCAGTAATTCATTTATTGGGCAGAGGTGAGCTGTATCATTACTGCTCCTAACTATCGTCCAGAAATCTAACCTCCCAAAAGCCTGGGAAATTGACTTGTTCTTGACGTGCAGTTGCAAGACAGAGACGGCTTTAACCGCAATAAAACATCAAACATGCGACAGTTTCTTCGTCAAAAACATGGCCCGTCTTGTTCTTAGGAATGCTTCCTTCTCTTCCGTTCTCCTCAGTATTGTAGGATATCTTCTAGACTAATGCATAGACAAGAAGATCACATACCCAAGCATTATCTTCTTCCTAGGTTTGTCCCCATGGTGGGCGTCTGATGGTCACGAGATACAGCTTGCTTAGAAAATTATGCCCTTCTGCAGCTGGAGTTCTCACCGCCTTCTGGAAATGTACCGAAGAAGTATAGAAAACGTTCAGTTCCTCATTTGGAGAATTCTCATCACTCGTGGATTAAAACATCTTGAAGAAGCCTCGTTCGGGGATATAACTAGGTCATTCTCATCTATTTAGGCATACATTTCTCTCTTTAACATGATAAATGATTGAATGATTCTTCTTTGGACTTATGTGGTCTCCATATCACCGTCTGTGCCTGTTTTGCAGCTGCTTTTATAGCAAGAAGAAGGGCAGCAGCAGCTTGTGGTTGTATATAAGGAAATAGTGCTGCCCATTAATAATCTCTCCTAAATGAGATCAGTCACACGTTTTAAAAGAGAAATACCCGAGGGGTAGAAATGAGAATAACCACAAAATCAACACGCAATATTACTTAAGTTCAACAACCCATTACCTAATCTATGCAGAGTAGGTTCTCTATTCAGCTGTACAACATGCCATAGCATAACTTGTTGCAGTATTTCCCATACACCGGGCCTGCTTTCCCGAATTCTACTCTTAGCACTGCTATGCTTGTTTTTTTTTGTCAGAAGCACTCCTATGTTTGAAGTAAGATGTATAGTCAGTCCAAGAATTACGAATATCTGAAAAAGCTCTATTGCAATTTCCAGTGGCGATCCACATCATGTAATGGAAGTGAGTGTCCTACGAAATGACAGAACGACCTGAATTGTTGATCCCTTTGTCAAGCAAAGTGTCACCCTCTTTGCCTTAATTACATCCAGAAATGACTTGTAAACCCCATCATGACATTCCTCGCTGCTTGAGGAGTTCCAGTAGCAAAGAAATTCAACCTCCAATCAGTTCACCTAATTAGAAGGAAAAATGTATTTAAAAATCAATATATTTGTAGTGAATATATGTCAAGGGAAGCAGCAAGCAAAAAATGTATCGAATGCGGTAACAGATAAATGGATGCCAAAGCAACAAGGATCCATTTGGGCTCAACTAAAGAATTACTTCATCAATACATTAGTGTCGAGAGCCTAATCCCCTAAATAGAACAATGATAATTAAAATCAGTCGATGGAGGTACGCGAAAATACCATCTCCTTTGTACACAGTTCATCACAGGCATATATCCTTACCAAAGTGAATGGCATGCACAACTTGCAGGATGCAGAAATTAGTTGCAAGATAAACCAATTGCAGCAAAGCAGTGCGCTCCATTCTTGAGATGACAATTTTATAACCCTTTGCAGAGTAGATAATTTCAGATAGCAAAACAGAAATTGCAAAATGGTCTGCTCTACTCTGCCAATGATTGAAGCATTTTGTTCTGCGCCATGCGCCATGGACCTAGTTAAAATTTCAGAGGACAAACAGAAGCACCATATTACAGTATATACATATTAGATCAGCCACATGATTTGGTATGAACTATTCAAACAACTTATATCTGACAAAAAAAAACAACTAATAAAAATTTTGGAAAAATCACTATAATATAATGATGAATCAACTGAGTGACAAGTACTACTTTCTGGAACACCATCTTCCATGTGCATAATTTTTGACAAATATTTATATGATCTGTCGCTTACACTCACAGGAATGGATTGAAAAAGAATGTGCTGAATTACCTTTCCCCAACACCTGGTGGTGAAAAGAGTTCTCTCAACCAGACTCCTTCCGAAACACCTCTCTGCTATCACCGGATAGGACAATTTCTTGTGCTAATTACTCGAGAGTCACCATTTCTTCAGATTTATGAACTTCCCCTATTCCCTCAATCAGTGAGATGTAAGTGGCATCATCTGGAGTGATGCCTTTATTAACCATTTCCTTGAGGAGTTCTTCTGCATGATCTCCTTCCTTACTCTTGCATAAACCTTGAATAAGGGCATTGTAAGTGAGACGTGTGGGATTGAATCCAACACTCAACATCTCATCCCGTGTCCTAAAAGCATCATTCATGTCACCACGTCTGCTATATCCACTTATCAGAGTATTGTAACTGATGTGATCAGGCTTTATCCCTCTTCTTTTCATCACACCTAGAAGCTCACGTGCTTCTTCAACTTTACCCTCCTTGCAAAGTCCTTGCATTAGTGTATTGTAGGTGACTTCATCGGGATTAATCTTAAATTGATCCATTTTCTCCAAAAGTGAAAATGCACGCTCCATGCTCCCATTAGTACGGTGTCCATCGATCATTGCATTAAACATCACAACATCTGGACTAATACCCTCACCAATTATTTTCTCAAATAAATCATCTGCTTCCTTCATTCTGTTCCGTCTACCCAGAACATATATAAGTGAGGTATAAGTTACTCGGGTGGGCTGGATCCCTTTAACCAACATCTCGTCACGAAGAGAAAAGGCCTTTTTAGCATCGCCACACTGGCAATACCCATTAATTAGTATATTGTAAGTGAAGGCATCGGGAGCCAACCCTTCTTCACCCATTTCTCTCATCATGTTATCAACTTCAAGAGTGTTTCCTTCCATTAACATAGCATGAATAAGCAAATTGAATGTCGAAATAGTGGGCCTTATACCCCTCTTAACCATCTCATCTCTATAACTAAAAGCTGTCTCTAAGTCCCCTTTGCTGCAGTACCCATCAATCAAAGCATTATACACCACAGCACTGGGGACTAACCCAACTTCCAACATTTTACCCAGAAATTTGGATGCCTCCTCAAGTCTCCCCTCCTTACACATCCCATTAATGATCGGTCCATATGAATAGGAATCCGGTTCGATGCCTTTAGCTTTCATCGCATTAAAAATCATTAGAGCACCCTGAACTCTCCCTTTCGAGCAATACCCATGTACTAATGTGTTGTATGTGACAACGTTAGGCTTTATGCCCAAACCCTCCATCCAACCAGTAAACTCCTTTGCCTTCTTCAACTTTCCCTCTTTGCACAACAAATTGATCATTATGTTGTAAGTGTGGACACTGGATTTTATCCTCAACTTAAACATCTCAGCATACAAAACCCAAGCAATCTCTCTCCTGTCCAACTTCAACAACAAACTCAACATGCTATTACAAGTCTCGGTCTTGGGCAAGATGCCCTTCTCTTTCATCATGTCAAAGCACTCCAACGCCTCATGACCCATCTTCATGTCACAACAACCCCTTATCAAGAAATCAAAGACAATGCTACTTTTCGTACCTGATCGACCGCGCAAGCTCACCAGCTCATCAAAGACCTCTTTCACGGTGGCACCAACGCACCCAATGGTCCTCTTCGCGAGCTGCAGCGCGGGCTTCGGATCCGGGAGGCGAGAAACGATGGCGAGCGCGAGACAGGAGGTCCTCGTATCGAAGCACCCGGCGTCGACGCGGGTCACGAACTCGAGCGCAAGTTCGGGCCTTTCCTCGAGAGCCGAGAGGGTGGCCGAGATTAGGGAAGGGGTGAGGCGGTCCGACACCTGTTTGACGAAATGCCACTGAGAAGACTGGACCGAGCTCAGCAGCATCTGCGGGGTGATCGCGGGTTGGGACTGGTCGCCGGCGCCTTGCGGAGCGGATGAAGAGAAATGGAGGGAGAAGAGCGCGTTGACGGTGGACGGAAGAGCGGCGAGGCATTGGTGCTTGAGGTTTTGGGGAGCGAGGAGGTTGTGGGGTTTCATTGTTTTGGCCAAGATCTCTTCTGGGTCGGTCGGTTACAGGAGGAGAGTTTTATAGTACGAAGTCGTCGCCCTCGGATGGGTTTGATTTTCCGACTGCTCGCCGGTGCCGGGAGAACAGCAGATTGAGTTGGGCTCAGACAAGCGTTACAGCGTTTCTCGAGCCCGCTAAAGTCCGACCAAACTTGTATGGAGTGTCCTATCTCCTCTGAATCGTAAATGGAGCTGGACAGTCATTTTCAGACTGATATCTAGAAGGGAGAATGACGAAAATGGTGCATGAATTTCGTCTCAACGTGCTGCAAGGTGATTAATGAATTTTTAATTTGTTCAACGTGATTCTTAAACTTTAGCCTAACGTGCAATATCGTCCCTGAATTTTTAAATTGTTCAATATGGTCCCTGAATTTTTTATACATGTTTAATTTAGTCTCTATATTATATGAAAATGTTTATGTTGTCCCTGAACTTGAATTAATGAAAGGACAATATTAAACATTTTTATACATTTCATGAACTACATTGAACAAATTATAACTTTAAAGAAGACATTACACTTTAGGTTAAAGTTCAGAGATCATAGTGAATAAATTTAAAGTTTAAAAATTACATTACATATTGGATCAAGGTTGAAGGACCATTTGTGTCATTATGCTTATCTGGAATCCTTTCCATGGTTTGCCTTTGCAAGCCGATTAATTAATTTACCCTTTACAATTTACCAAAACTTCTGCAGAGCACCTCATTTAAAAGTCGGCAACTTTCAGTTTTAAGGGTCACGGCCGAAAAAGTTTTGAACTTGGATTTACATTTTCCGATTGCGACGCTATTCTGGGAATGTGAATGCACGTTTGTGCGTATACGTGCTTTTTTAGATTCCAATGAGATGTTCCTAGTACCATTTGAACTCTAGTTATACCTTTTCTTGCACCATGGAAAGAAACTGTGGGGGACCAGACGGAACCAATTTCTAGCTCCAAAGAATGAGATTCCACATGCATCCAATGCGACGGAACCGAATGATTTCCCTACGCAAACTAGAAATGAACCGAACTTCTAACGGATGGGCATGGGTACTCTTGAAAACAGGAACCAAGTCCAATCGGCAGAGGGAGAATTTACATATTAACAATAAGGGATCTGAAACTAACATCATAAATATGTGAGAAAGGAAGAACGGTACAATACAGACATTACACCACAGCAGTGAGTGTTCACAGACATACGTGCAGCAACAAACCCATCCTTTTGGCTTAAACGACATGCATAATATACAGAATCCCGACGGCCAAATGTTACAATCTAGCACAAACATCCCGACGGCCCGAAAAAATTCGGAAATGCAGGCTCTGTTTCCAACCTTCCAAGCTACTATAGAATTCGTCTTAAAACAGCTTCATGTCAACAACCACCTCGACCAACAAGATATTATGCATGTGGCAAAGGAACTCCCAAAGCAGCTCTCCCTCAATATTTGCACAGGTGGCAAAAAGAATCATGCGGCGCTCAAACAGTTCTCCCAGGACCCGTACTTCGAGCTGAAGCTGCCTCCCCCTCTCTGCTGAGCATATTCCAAAATAACTGCTCGGGCACAATCATCCCAAGTTCTTGCTATCTCCCTAAGTGACATCGGTTGTGAAAGGCTTCGGAGGGATATGCTGAACCTTGACTTCGCCTTTGCGGAAAGATCTTCATATTCTTTACTGAAAAGTCAAAGCAGATGTAAGTCACTCTAAGAGAGTATTTGATGTTATGCCTCCCATACTTAATAATGATTTTACCTGGGGGCACAAAAGGAAAAGGACAATACCCAGTGGCTTACCTCACTTCAACGGGAAATTTGTCCAATAGCACAGGGGAGCAATTGGGGTAATTTGTGGGTACAAGCAACCGTAAAGGCTGAATTGGCGACTGTTACAAAAAAAGCACAGAAGAGGTCAGCACCGTGAGCATCTCATGATAACCTCAAACTGCATAGGGTACCAAACCTACCATTTGCGCTGAAGCATACTGTGACTTCAAGTTCGGGCTCAGAGCAACAGCATTGAAAGAGCACTTAACAATGACTCCCTCCCCTCCCTCCGCGACAGCAACTGTCGCACTTGGATTAACATCTTCATCACTAAAATCTACCACAGTATCTATAAGACGCTGATTTATTTCTCTTATTTCTTCCAACAGGACATGGTTTGCCTGAAAACGATCAATTTTGACAACTGAATTTGAGAAGTAAAACCAAACGCTGACTCAATGGACAAGGAGAAGGGTGAATGATTATCATGGGTCATGCAATGTAGGAAAGGCACAAAAAATCACTCTAAATGTCAGATCATTCTCAAAATTTTACCCAAGATGACTCTTGTGTTTGTGCATAACTCTTGAAGTCAAAACAATATAAATTAGTATATCTCGTGTACCTTTGCTTATTTTGTTCATGATCCAATTGCACAAACACGAGGCATTTGGGTTTCTTCAGTAAAATGCTAAGGCAGCCTAGAGAACCCCCAACTGGAAGCACGATTATAGTATATATTGTATCTAACTATATGCTCATATGTACCTAGAGATAATTTCTTTTCTTGAAAAAACAACTTATTCATCCATCATGTTCTTCTCTTTCTAAATGAAGTTATTTGAATATAACTACCACGTTTCAGTTAAAAAGTATGATACAATTCCAAATTCTGAATGTCAACAATTAAAAGCAACTACTCTAAAACAAAAGACATTTAGGATACTGCCAGATATATTTATCTTTGCTTAAGACTCCACAATGACCATTCACTTGCACTTCCAATGCCCTGGGCAACAACTATTCTGCGATTACTCTTTAGTCCAATCTTATGCTCTAACTAGACACTTTGGCCATCAAGAAATCTTACTCATACCCTTGTATTGCTGTCCAGATCTAGTTCTTGTGAAATAGTCTTGTCTTACGACAATTCGTGTGATCAAACAAATACTGTGCATATGAGTTAAAGGCATCTACAGACCCGCATAAAGATCGACCATTCAAGTAACCAAATCAAGCATGGAAGCAGGATGGGTATTTCATTCTCACAAGAACTTTCAGTGCTCAAGTACAAAAGCGCAGATAACAGGCCCAATGAAGAGAGAGAGAGAGAGACAGAGAGATGGATACCTCAATCCTTGGCCTCTTGGTACTGGATGTTGCAGTTGACTCCAAATCAGAAGACTCTGCACCTGTGAACTGCTTAAAACTATCGTTTACACTGCCAGCTGATGATACAACATTCAAAGGCATTGCACTTGTGTAACGCCTCATTTTCCTATTTCCAGATGCCCCATCTTGTGTCATGAAATTTCTGGCTTGCAAGCGACATTTAGTCATAGCAACTAGATCCTCACCAACAGCAGCCCTAGATCCATTTCCAGGAGCTGATCCTGCTATCCTATCAACCATGCTAACGACTGAACCAATGTCATTGACCGCAGCATTCAATGCTTGGGGCGACATTGATTTAACCTAAGATGAATAACAACAGCGTTACCACACCTGACTGTTTTAAATCTTATGCATGCAGAGGTAATAAACAACATGAATTGATAGCGAGGGTAGGAGTGATGCTCTTGCTTGACTAACCGCTTTAATTAATCGTTCAATAGGCTGCTCAGTCACGGTTGACTTGCTGGAGACAACAGCAGATGCATTGCCATGAGCACCATCTGGACCGAACTCTGCGAGCAGGGGTGAGGCCGATATACCAGGAGTGCCAATGGCAAGGGAAGGGGCTGGTGCTGGGGCAGAACTTGGTTGCTGATTTCCGATGTTTCCAGCATTAGAAAGGGAGGAAATGCCAGACATAGGCTTCTCAGACTCCCCTGGCATCGGCGATGGAGCCAAGGGAGTAGCTGGAGATGGAACAACAAAAGGTGAATTTGCTGATTGCAAAGGAGTTCCAGCTTTAGTCAGAGAAGATAGCAGATTCTGCTGATCAATCTGTGGAGATGAGTTCTGTGGAATTTGAGGGGATGCAGCCTGGAGAAGCTGAGGGGAAGAGGTAGGAAATGAAGCTCCTGGTTTCATTTGTTGATGCGGAAAAGAGGAGCGCTGTGTCGCTGAGTGATGTTGCTGAAAGACTCCTTGCTTCACCCCCATACCTGGTCTTATTTTTATATCACTTCCATCATTCATCTGATGAAGTTGTGGTATTGGATGAGTCTGCAGTTGCGAAGGAAGCTGCTGCTTAGCCTGCTGTAGCTGCTGCTGATGTTGCTGTTGTTGCTGCTGCTGCTGCATAAGCTGTTGTTTGAATTGTTGTTGCTGCATTTGACGTTGCTGATACTGTTGCTTAAGCTGCTGTGTCTGTAGAATCTGTTGTTCCTGTTGCTGTTTGAGATGCTGATGTTGAAGCATATTGGAATTAGACTGATGGGTGTTAACATTTGATTGTAACATGTTTACCCCACCCTGTTGCTGCATGGTGCTCATGTTCACCTGTTGTGGAGCACTAACAGGATTCTGCTGCATAGATCCCAAAGCAACCTGCTGCATTGTACTCAAGGCATTACCTTGTCCAGAGTCCATGGAATTTGGTTGTAGTGAATTAATCATGGTTTGCTGTGCATTTGAAACCCCAGACAAAGAAGACATAGAATTATGATGCAAATTTCCCATATTGTTCTGCTGCATTGATGCTACAGAACCTTGTAAATTCATTGATTGTAACTGAGGGTTCATTTGATTTTCATGTGACTGCACTTGAGTAATTTGAGGTTGTGATTGCTGCTGCTGCTGCTGCTGCTGCAAGTGCATATGAGGAGGGGGAAGTTGCCCTTGCTGCATAGCTACTTTCCTGGGCCTGCTTGTGTTTATAAAGTTTATTATCTGTTTCTCATAATGAACCAGCTTCTCCTTGAAAGTAGGCCCTATATCAGCTTTGTTAACTTGCAAAACAGTAATTACGCGCTCCAACATCCCTTTAAAAGCTTTCAATTTTTCAAGCTGCTCTGACTTTGGCTGTTGTGAAAGAGACTCGTGCTGGCAATGTATAAGAATAACAAGTAATAAGAAAGAGATTGAACAGGATGATACATCAATCAAAGATTTATAGATCAATTATATATGCTGCCTTTCTTAAGAAATGTTTACTCCATGTAACATCATTAGGAAAGAATCGAAATTAAGCAATACTTTCTCAACAACGCTTAATCGGACTGTTCTCAATAACAGACTTTCTTT